GGAGTGCTAAGTTCAGGGTGAGGGTGTAGACTCCTACCCTCAGTTTGTGACTATGGGGCAGGGCCAGCATCAGCCCAAATACCGCAGGTGATGGGTCACAACAGCAGCAGGGTTCACTGGCTTTGGTCTACCAACCCTAAATTACAACAAAACGGATGACTGCAGTCACGAACCTGGTTTATGACCCATTTCTGAACAGAATAATAATTGTCACATGTTCACAAAGAGCTGGTGCTGGAGACAGGACGAGAGGAAACTGACGATGGTAGGTGATTTGACTTTTTTTTTTTCCAGTTTGCATATTTTCATTATTTATGAAGAGGGACACTACTTCCCATAAAACTGCAACTGGCTCCAGTCTGCCCATTTACTCAGACATTTCTGCCACTGGTTTCCACCTGCCCACACATGCTTCCCTAGTAGGCCTTCCTGCATAAGCCACGATTTGTCTTGTTTCAATGGAGGCAAACAGAAAATGGCTGATCACTACTACCTGAGTTAAAGAAGGCATTACGTGTACTTTATGCTGTTCAGCTGGCAGAAGCTTGGAGAAGGAGCTTAGTGACACAGTGAGAATCTCATCCATCATGGACAATGACTCCTGGTGCCAGATTTTACATCAAGGTCAGATGAATGGAAATGGTTTGGTATAGGAACTGAATGGATTGATCATGCGAACAAACTGCTAAGTCAAAATAAGAACATACCACCCTCTTCTACACTTAAAGAAATGAAGAGAGTGTCAAATTCTCTAATTTCAAAACAGTGGCATCTGGGTGGTGATTAACGTTCAGCCTTCAGAGACATTAGCTCTCCCAGGAACTTGTGCCTTCACAGTTGGACAAAAACTGACTTGCTTTTATGACCCCAATGAGATAAGGAGCTCAGACTGAAAAACTCAGAGAGGTCTTTGTCAGCAGACAGCACCAGACTAAGTCTTTTTTGAAGGCCAGAACACAAAAGCATTCAGCTGATAATTCCACAAGCACTCCATTCTTGACATCAGCTGAATGACTCATGTCCTGTTATCCAGCCATCTCACCAAACTCTTTGTCTTGACCTACCTCAAGCCTAGCAGCTCAGTATGCTGATTCAAAGATGTCAAAGACAAATGATGGTTTTAGAGGAGGATTTGTGGCAAGCCAGCACTATTCAGCAAGGACTCTCCCTCCACCCACAACAGCCCTCATCTACATTCTGCTGTGCCACATGAAGGAGAAGCACTGTTAGTGTAGCAGCTGTCAGCAACCTGTTCCTTCTCCAGATAAACTCATCACTGCCCAGCCCTTGCCACCAGGTCAAGTAGTAAGCCAGGCACCATCTGAGGAACTATTAATTCCCAGTTCCTCTAGTTCTGTATACTTATAGGCCTCTGTACACCCGCAGTATTTTTTTTTGTCTTAACATGCATGTGGAGGGTGTGTTTTTCCAACAGGTAGCTGGTTGTCTCCAACGATGCCACCAGCCAGGCTTACCATTGGACATACCAAGTGAATACTTGTTCACTGTGGTCCTTTCCACAAATGTTTAGTGCTCTGGTCAGCACAGGTTCCTGACCTCCTGTCCCAAGCCTAAAGCTGAGATTTCCAATAAGCACATTCCAATATTACACAAGAAAAACTGAGGTCAGCAGGGTGTCAAGAGGGAAATGCAACCTGAGATCCATGAGCACAGCTGAAGCGTGCATCTTGTACTTGGGGAAAACTAGTTAAGCTGTACTGGAGATACAGGCATCTGTGCACCCAAAAGATGTCACAAAAAAATGTATTTAAGAAGCAGAGACCATAGAGGAGCATAGGATACTTTGCCAGAGAGACACTGCCTACCACAAGTGCTAGACAGTTTCAGAGCAATGACAACTTCACTTCTTCATGAGTTTGCACAGCTGCAATATAATATCTGGATGATATATTATGTATGTAAATGTGTGTGTATACATATATCTGTATGTTAGTGTTTAGTATTGTCACAGTTTAGGGTTAGGGCTGTTCCTAGCCCTGTAACAGATGCTCTCTGTTAACCCCTCCCACCCAAAAAGGGAAAGATTCCCCCCCAAAAAAGGGGAAAGAATAAGGGAATAAGGGAGAGAGAGACTTATTGATTAGAAAAGTAAACCAGCTTTAATGAAAATACTGATAGTAACAACAATAGTAATAGTAATAAAATTGAATATATACAAACATGTACAAACCCAGTATCAAATCCAACTCCCTCCCCTGATGGCCATAGGTCACCATCACCCCTGATGCTGTGGAGCAGCCCCCAGGGAAAAGTCCCAGACTGGACTCAGTGGCAGACAGCAACTGGGTACAGGAGCTGGATGCTGAAAATCAAAGGCAGCATGATGGATGGAGTGCTCCTCGGATACCAGCCAGTTAAGGAGCAGCAAAAGAGAGAAAGGAGGCAGAAGGGATTGACCCTCATGGTCCCTCAGCTCTGTACTGAATATAAGGGATATGGGATGGGATACCCCACTGATCAGTTTAGGGTCCTCTGTCCTGTCCACTCCTCCCTGCAGGTGCAGCCTTTACTTTCTGCCCCCCTCCGTGTGGTGCACAGGATTTAGCAGTGACCTTGGTCTGCACACCAGCCCTTGGTGGTGACTCTGAACATGGAGTGTTATCACCCCTAGAAGCAGACACTGTGAAAATATGCTGCTAACTTCAGAAATTCAGTTAATTAGAGGAGCTTTAGTTCAGAAGTAAAATCGCTGAACAAAATTAGTTCTGTTCTACCCCAAACCAGGACAAATTCTTCAGAATTTGCATTTTTTCAGTTCAAAGGGTTCTTTAAAAGGTTAAGAAGAAACAATCTGTTGGAGAGTTTTGGTTTGCTAGTCTTTTTTTTAAGAGATAGATAAATACAAGTAACTCCCTGGAAAAATATTTCAAATGTGCAGTTGAAAAATGTCAGATGCACACATTTTCAGGCAAAAAGAAAATTTGTACGAGACTAATTCCACTATCCAGTACTGGTTCACTACACAGATTGCTGAACTCCCTTTCATCTATCATCCTACTTTGTACCAGCAGCTTGGGAATTAAACAAAAAAATCATATTTTTAATAACAAAGGAAACCCTGATTAAATTAAAACTCCGTGTTAACATTTAATGTTCAATTAAGCTGAGGAAGGAAGCTGTAGTGAAAACAAACAAATACGAAATGTGAAGAATTTCACTGCATGTACTCTGGGTAAAAGCTGCTTAGCTCACTTTGACTGCTAAACTGATTAACAAGAAGATTCAGCTCTAAAGTAAGGTAAAACTGTATAATGGCAACTGGATAAAGGGGAGAGTTTGAAAAGTTACAAGCATCTCAGTGCATATGAAATACATTTCCGGCTAGGCAAAATCTAGGTGGTATGAATGCTTTTGAAAAGTGAAACTTTAGCTAGTGGCCAAGATTCTTTTAAATTACAGATTTGTTTACATTCCTGACATAAAATTTCTATGTGCTTTTTAAGAAGTGTAATGTAAAAATGTACATTATGTAAAAAGTGTTTTCTCCAATGTGTTTATTGCTTTAACCAAGTGGCTTAGAAAAGCAGCCATGACAGTCTCCTCCCATCCATGTAAAGGGTCTTGCTCTTCAGCAACACCACTCACAACAGAAACACAAAACACTTTCAGAGATACTTAAAGAAACAGAAATTCGCAGGCTCAGATTTACTTATAGTAAAATGAGCATTTAACCTGTGCAGAGAGTGCAATAAAATCAGAAAATATTACATTCTGCTTACAAATACTGAACAGAAATTGTCCTTAGAAAACAATAAAATTAATAACAAATCAAAGCTCCTTTTAACTGGCTGAGCATTGTCTGCAGGATAAAAATGTTGAGGAAGGAAGTTAATCAAGGGATTACTGGTTAGCACTAGATGTGCTAACAGTAACATAAGGAAAAACTTTCAAAATCATGATTTAGAAGGTTTCAAGCTCAGTGATAATGAGAGTTGGTAATGCCTCTTTCTACAACCTCGAGCACATTTCAAGTTCCTGGGTAAATGCTACTGGTTTATTTCTTTTATTTCTCCTATCTTTGTAAAAGGGTGTAAAATTACAAAACTGAGAGATCATTACTTGATTTCTCATTAACAGTGATGATTCTCTGCATCATTTTTACAGACTAAAGGTATTTTCAATTACCACAACACAAGAATCTCAGGCTCTTGCTGATTGAAGGTGAAATGATTTCAGAACAGAAATATTCTAGGGGATGCAAATACAGACTAAAGTTATCTGAACATTAAAAAAAAAAAAAAATACACCTCTTAATTTAAAAATTACTTTTAAAAAGCTGAGCTTTTTTCCAGAAGCTCACCAGAGCCATTCTCCTTGAATTCAATCTAGTAACTTTTCCACTTTAGGAACAGATGCTTTTACAGAGAGGTGTAGAAGAAATCAGTCTTATACACTCTCCCCCTTTAGAATAAGAAAGCCATTTGGAATCTGATCCAAACCTCACTTCAGTTAATAAAAAAGGCTTGTGAAATCACTTTAACCTACATGCACTGTTTCTACTTCTTCTATTAGTTACTGGGTGTTCAGTGGGGAAATGTTCACTTACCCCAGCAAGATAGCTGGTAAGTACATTGATAAGAGCAGATAAAAAAGTACACTCTGAAAGTAAAGCATACTTGCTTATCAAATGCTAGAGACAAAACAAAAAATCAGGAGTAATACATCTATGTTTGTTGATAATCTTATTTTATTGAAGGGTATGAAGTGCTTCTTGAAGTACCAACACTTTACAGTCTGTACATGCATTTTCAATTTTGAAAAAAACTAAATATATTTTCTTTTTTTTTTTTCAGAAGAGAAAACATGCATACTTATATACATCATTTTGAGACAAAAGAAAGAATTACCATTTACAGCAGAAATTTCTCTTCACAAATCTTTTAAGAGACAAGGTGGGCAGTAGCAACTCTGCAGAAGGCAAAGCACATAAAACTCTGTACATTCATTTGTTTGGAGACATTAGCAACTGCAGAAGAAGGTCACTTAAGGATGGATTCAACTGAAAATGACAGTGGTTCTGTTGTTGAAAGTTTTGCTATGGCTTGCTTGGCCCCCAATAAATCGTTTGCACATTTGTCTCTTGTAGACTTGTATTTTTGGTTCTCTTTAATGGCACACTCTCTGTATTTCTTAGGAGCATCTTCAAAAGTCTCCTTCAAAAACGATGTTCTCAACTCTGGTCCTGATCTGTCAGAAAAGGCTTGTTGGAACAGTAACTGAAATGGATTGTATTTGAGTAGTGGAGGGGGTTTGGTACTGCTTTTGCTGATGTTGCTTAATATCTGTTCCTGAGGAGCCAGAGGACCCTTATCAGAAACCTGAGAGAAACTCCTTTTTGGAGGAGAGAAAGCTGACCTCTCACGAGCTTCCTGAGGAAGGCATGGTATCTCATTACATGACTGCTGAGTGTCTTGTGTGGGGGTCAGAACGAGTGAATTTTCTAGTTTTGGAGACATGATGTCATGCTCAGTGTTTGGACAGTCCAGAGTTTGTGACACCTTGGCATCCCAACCTGCCCCAGGTTTGAGAGCCTGGACAGTGGTAGCATTTAACAGGCATTGTTGGTAGAGGAGAGCATCACTAAGGGGGCCACATTTTGGCCACACTAAGAACCTAGAAGAGAGGGGATACTGCCTGTAAGTAGTAGCTACACTGACATTTGAAGAAATTAGTTCCATGTTGTTGGACCCTGAATACTGCATGGTTAGATCAAGGCATGTTGGCAAAAAATTGCAAAACTCCTTGTTTGGAGTATCAACTTGAGTAGTGTTGTAGGCTGTTTTGTAGGAGTTATACTCAGCTCCGTGCACCATGCGGTTAGGGAGAAAAAGGGCAGCTGCTTGTGTAGCTTCCATCATTTCTCTCTCTTTGTACTCCCTCTCTAGCATAATGTTTTCTAACTCCTTATCAGCAAAAGCCCGTCTCTTTCTCATCCTGTCGCTTACAGGGGGTGGCAAGGGTGAATTCCCTCGAAGGTAAGGGTCTGTTGGAATAGGACGGTAACCTAAAACAACAAAGTAGCATTAGGAATGAAGTAACATAAAATAAAAATTAAAAAAAAAAAATATATAAAACTGTGTCTTTAAAAGGACTTGGTTTAGTGTCAGCTCTGCCATGCAGTGGGCACTTGCTATCTCGAACACTGTCAGCCCCTGCTGAAGTCATTGTGCCACAGAGGCTCAGCTCCCTGCACACTCAGTACAAGTTCCTCAACAAAATTAAACAAGCCCTGCTCCTCTGACATGTGTAGTCTCCTTCAGAGCTGGCTGATTAGTAACGGAAATATTTTGTTTCTTCCGAACTGAAGGAGAACTTTGATAAAGCATAGAAAACTACTCTCCAGTATGGTCAGTTACCAGGCTAACTGGATTCACTTAATATAACCGATAAGGTCCAATCCTGTTTGCTCTACACAGACAAGCAAAACCATTCAATTAATGGAATCACTTACATGTATGACAGGAACATGTTTTTTACTTGTTTTCATTCCCGTTTCTGTTACACAGGTTTCCCTGTTGCCAAGGAAGATATCTATACCTACAGCTGATCCCTTTTCTATTCTCTAAAGATGAATCCCTATGTACACATTGTTACCCATGGTCGAAAACTCCATGGAAAGTTGGGAGAAAAGAAAATTTAGGTTAAGATAAATCAGAGGGGAAAACATAGATTTTTTTTTTTTCAAAGAGTTTTATAAGACAACAAAATTTTAATTGTTCTTGCACAAGCAAAGAAAAGAGCTCTCTGTTTTGGGGGAGAGGAGGGAAAGCTAGATTTGAGAACGGCAATGCTTTACAGGGCTACAGTTTAGAACATAATTAAAGTAGACATAGAATTAAATTTGGGCACTCTCCAAAAAGGGAATGGGGAAAAAAA